CAGTAGTCAGGAAGAAGGAGGGGCCCGGCAGGCCAAGGGATGGCCTGAGGAAGGTTGAGAAAAGTTGCCTCTGAGGCCCAGCCTGGTGATTTGAGGTAGTTCCTTCACAGCATGCCAGGGTTCTGAGGACACCCTGGGAAAGCAGAAGGCACTCAGATTCCCCTGCTTTAGAAAGGGGCTCAGGGAACTCACAGTGGGGGGCGGGGAGGGGGGCTCATTTGCTAGGGAGGAACTGTGAATTTGCAGACAAAGCACAGCTGCTATTCCCCATCCCCACCCCGGGCTGACCCCATGCTTAGTCATCACTCACTTTTCTTCTGCCCCACAAAGGACACAGCACCCAGGATTTTCCGGAAACCAACGCCCGGGTGGTTGGAGGGGTTGAGGCCCGGAAGAATTCCTGGCCCTCTCAGGTGGGTGTTTCTTCACAGCCCCAGACTTCCAATAAAATAAGAGTTGCCTGGGCACTGATACACAGTATTACAGGTGTTTGTGTATGTCCTTATCAACAGGAAGCTCTCCAACTGCCTGTATTCTAGATTTTAAAGATGAATGGGGCCAGGCTTAGGTGGTTTTACTAAGTGCAAAAGGCTTGAAGGAGCGAATTTAATTACCAACCACACTCACTCTCCCAGGCACACACCTAAACACGAATCACATTTACACTCCCAGCAACACCATTTGTGCCACATTAACAAGACTGTGTGCCAGACCCACACTTCAGATTCCATATACCTTGACACACATACACACACACACACACACACACACACACACACACACACACACCTTCACACAGTATGTGTCACACTTTCAAGTGCACTCCCACCCCCAAGTAGAGTATGTTGTTTATTTGGCTATTTAAAGAGTTTCCACTTTCGCCGAAACCGGTTTGGCTCAGTGGATAGAGCGTCAGCCTGCGGACTGAAGGGTCCCGGGTTCGATTCCGGTCAAGGGCATGTACCTGGGTTGCGGGCACATCCCCAGTAGGAACCTGCAGGCAGCCAATCAATGATTCCCTCTCATCATTGATGTTTCTATCTCTCTCTTCCTCTCCCTTCCTCTCTGAAATCAATAAAAAAAATTTTTAAAAAAAGAGTTTCCACTTTCATAACAGGACAGCTAGGCTCTGATTTAAGCAATTCAAATGTAAAAATTGGCAAGTTGAGACGAATCATTACAATTAGAATTAAATCAATTTACAAAAGTTTGAGCCCCAATTTTCAGAAGTTATTGTGTTATATGAGGAGCTGAAGAAGACATGAACTGATAAAAATGGACATTCCAATGGTATTTCTAAATATTCCCTGAAGTAGGGGGCCAGGGTATATCTTGAAAACATTGGAGGGGAGGCTCTGAGACCTAAGCTTGTGGGTCTTAGGTGGTGGAGCAAATCCATAGCTACATTTCCTTCCCAAGAGGAAATGGAGGTAGAAGGAAATGAGTTCTTGGCCCTTTGCAACAACCCAGAGCTGGGGTGGGGGGCAAATACACTCTGTGTATATGCCTTTACCTCCCCACACCCATCCATGTACACAGCAAACATCGCCAAACAACAGTGCACTCTTTCCTGCTGATCCCAGATCATCTACACACCCTTTCTCGCTACCACACCAGGTAGACACTAGCAATCAATCAATAGCAATTGACAGATCAAATGAAATCTATTTGCCATCTCTAGCCCAGAAAGTTGGAGAATGTTTTGAGGGATGGCAGGAATTTCAGGGGTAATGTAATTTGGAGCAAAGGCTTTTAAGAGACACCACTTATTCTTCCTTTATTTCCTCCTTGTCTAGATTTCCCTCCAGTACTGGTCCAGAGGTAACTGGTATCACACCTGTGGAGGGACCCTTGTCAGACGGAACTGGGTGATGACAGCTGCTCACTGTGTGGACAAGTGAGAAAAACAAAGACCAGCTTTACTGAGCCCCTGGAGGGGAAGAGTCTGGCCCTTCTGGAGAAATATGTATCTTTGACCACCAGGGCAAGACTTTAAGGGTCTGTTTGGAGGCCTGTGGGAAGGCAGTACCATATAATGAAAAGTACAAATTTTGGCATTAGGCAAGCTCAGGTTCAAATCTCATTCCACCTTCTTCCAGCTATATGACCTTAGATGACTTACTTCTCTAAGTCCTCTTTCTCTTCTCTCTAAAGTGAGGTAATAAAACCTACTTTGTAGAGTTATTGTGAGGGTTAAGGAGGTAAATATTTGAGTGCCTAGTCAATGCCTGGCTGGTAACAATATTTTTAAATTGATCTTTATTGTTGAAAATATTACAGATGTACCTTTTTTTAATTAAGGTATTACATATGTGTCCTTATCACCCCCACTGCCACCCCCCAGATGTCCCTTTTTTTAAAATTTATCTTTATTGCTGGCTGGTAACAATTTTTTTCATATGGCACAATGGTTGGTTCTCAGTTGAGCATGTATCAGAATCACCTGGCAGGCACAGATTACTGGACTCCATCTAGCATTTTCTGATTTGGTAGGTCCAGGGTGAGGCCTGATAGTCCGCATTTGTAGCAAATTTCCAGGTTATGCGGATGCTGCTGTTCCAGGGACCATGCTTTAAGAATTATTAGTCTAGAAGTTTATACTTTCCTCCAAATCCCTCTGTGAGCTAAAAAGCCATTATTTCATTTATGTTCACTATTTGATGTTTAGTTTAATAAACTGGGAAAATGAAGTTGATGGTAGTTTTTGTCCTCCCACGTTAATTAATTAGGAAATAAGGGAGCTTGTTACTTCCTCATTGTCCAGGATTTTTCATCCTTCCTCTGCTGGACCAGATAAGATGAGTTCCTGTCCTAAAGATAAGATATAAGCTGGTTTCCCAACTTTTCCCTAAGGGGGAAAGAGAAGGCTTGGGCATCCTGGATCACTCATGGCTTCCTTCTGTCGCTCCAGCCAAATGACGTTCCGTGTGGTGGTTGGAGACCACAACCTGAGTCAGAATGATGGTACTGAGCAGTACGTGAATGTGCAGAAGATCGTGGTGCATCCATACTGGAACAGCAATAACGTGGCTGCTGGGTAAGGGCAAGGCTGGGCTGGCCTTGGGCTGGGAAGTGGAGGGGTGACTGACTAGCAACAGGGTTTTGGCTTCCTTCACATTCATCCATGAGGACTTTGAGAATTTATATTTTGGAGAATTTGAGAATTTTTAAAAATTTCTGGTATTTATTTGATCTAAGCTGGTTTGCAAGATTGGATCATCTAAAGCTCCTTCTCTGCAGAGTTAAATATTTGTTTTTATTGTTATTTATTATTTACTAGAGCAGTGGTTCTCAACCTTCCTAATGCTGCAACCCTTTAATACAGTTCCTCATGTTGTGGTGACCCCCAACCATAAAATTATTTTTGTTGCTACTTCATAACTGTAATTTTGCTACTGTTATGAATC